TTGAGTACGTATCCTTCATGGATATGGATATTGGAAGGGCTAGTGCTGCCAGACACAAGGATAAACTTGAGCACTTGAGTGCAAAGTTGGAGCAAGCACTGACGCTTCCGTCGCTCAATCTTTCTGCCGATTTTAAAGCGACGTTGAAGGTTTCCACTCCGAGGTCCTTTCTTTGCTGGCCAAGAATGCTGAACTAAAGGCCAAACGTACTCAATATCTTCGAGCCATAGCTTAGAAAGAGTTTTTGCGTATGGAGATTAACAAGGCTGAGGACGAGTTGAAAGAAATCTCTTTCGAAGTCATGGTTGAAAACTCTTTGATGGTTAATTTGGATGCTCAGATGAAGGAACTTCAAACCAAAATGAACGACTGCAGGGCGAGAATGGCTGCTAAAAAGCGCAACGCCTCCCAGGGAATTGAGCGAACTAAGTCCTTGGTCGAGCAGTACAAGAAGTTGGAAGTTGATGATGATGTCGCGGCTGAATTGAACATCACTTCCTCTCGGCAGAACGAGGATTGGGAAAAACTTAGGGAACGAATTCGTTCAGTATGGGGTGGACTGTAATTAAGACATATGTATAGGAAATATTTTTTGGCCAGCAGCAAAGTTTTTACCGTCGAAGTTCTTCCCATCGTCTCTTTGTCTTTTACAAGGAGTCGATGATAGAAGGCAATTTTTGGGATTCTTGCGGGCCACTTCGCTTGCTGAGAGTGCTTCTCAGCCTCTTTGCTCGCCATTGCAGCGATGCATTTAGGAAGGTGGTGAGGCCAGTCCACCCTCTTACTCGGCGATCCCACCATTGCAGCGATGCATTTAGGAAGGCGGCGTGAGCCTTACTCAGCGATCAACCGGGAGATTAGCTTACATTTAATTGTATTTCGTAGAGCATCCATTATTTGTATTTTTGCATTCTTGTAATGAACGTTTCATAATAAAGGACTTCACTTAAACGTATTTCGCTCTGACCTTGTTATCCTTTAATCGTTCAACAGATTTGATTATGATTTTATCTGTTCACATTCCCATAAAGAAGGAACATATTTTTTCAAATATTTACCGTTAATGAATCTCACGTGCTTGGTGCCATCTAAATCTTCCAAGTGATACGCTCCATTGGGCAACACACTGTTTATTTTGTATGGTCCTTCCCAATTGGGCGACCACTTCCCGTACTTTGGATCCTTGCTCA